GCCGTGGTCTCGCCACCCGCGTCCTCCGTGGCGAGAAAAGCCACTCCGCGTCTCCCTGGTCTGCTGGGGGGAAGCGCCCCCCGCACCGCCGGAGGCAGCGACAGTGGGGGAGGCACCCCACACTAGCGGACCCCTTCTTCCCCCCGGTTCTTAACTAGGGGTCCGACTTAAGTCGGACTGACTTAACCCAGGGACTGCCTGTACTCACTCACTCAGAGATTTTAGCAAATACAAGATTGAAGTTGCACCAGAGGTGAAAGTAAGCAGGTGTGCTCTGGTGCGCTGCTCCAGCAAGAGCTGGCTACGCTGCAGTAAAAGCCAGCTGGGAGGTATTTAAAGAGCTGGCAGGGAACCAGATCGCAATAGGACAGTACCTGTAAGAAATGTTAAGTTACTTTCACTGCTAAGTGGCACACAGTGAAAAATGTGAAGCTAGTACAAATGTGAAATCAGAAATGGGCCAAAACTAGAACTTTGAATTTGAACTTATATGGATTTCTGGCCAGGGAGAAGAAGCTTATTTAGATTCTCATCCTCTGATTTCACACCAGAACTCGTTCAGAATTGGATCCAAAACCGCAACTTGCTTAGAACATAAGAACATAAGAACGGCTGTACTGGGTCAGACCAAAGGTCCTTCTAGCCCAGTATCCTGTCTACCAACAGTGGCCAGCACCAGGTGCCCCAGAGAGGGTGGACCGAAGACAATGATCGAGCAATTTGTCTCCTGCCATCTCTCTCCAGCCTCTGAAAAACAGAGGCTAAGGACACCATTTTATCCCCTGGCTAATAGCCTTTTATGGACCTAACCTCCATGAAATTATCTAGCTTCTCTTTAAACTCTATTATAGTCCTAGCCTTCACAGCCTCCTTTGGCAAGGAGTTCCACAGATTGACTACACGCTGTGTGAAGAAGAACTTCCTTTTATTAGTTTTAAACCTGCTACCCATTAATTTCATTTGGTGTCCTCTAGTTCTTCTATTTAGGGAACTAATAAATAACTTTTCTTTATCAGCCCTCTCCACACCACTCATGATTTTATAGACCTCTATCATATCCCCCCTCAGTCTCCTCTTCTCTAAACTGAAAAGTCCCAGTTGTTTTAACCTCTCCTCATATGGGACCCGTTCCAAACCCCTAATCATTTTAGTTGCCCTTTTCTGAACCCTTTCCAAGGCCAAAATATCTTTTTTGAGGTGAGGAGACCACATCTGTACACAGTATTCAAGATGTGGGCGTACCATAGTTTTATACAGGGGCAGTAAGATATTCTGGGTCTTATTTCCTATCCCTTTCCTAATAATTCCTAGCATCCTATTTGCCTTTTTCCTGTTCATTATGGTCAGTGTCTGATTGGTCACATAAGTCAAATATTTTTTCTGCTCCCTGATTGGGCAACTCAAACTCCGTGTGCAGAAGAATAATTAATAGCACATAATAGATAACATGCTTTCTGTTTTGACTTTGAGACAAATATCCTAAAATGTGTATAAAATTTAGGCTTTACAATAATTAGTCCAGCTTTCGAAATATCATTAAAATTAACAGCAGAACAAATATTCCATATTCATTTGCAATATATGTATTAATCTTAATTTTTTTGTTACTATTTGACTAGCTGAGCCCCAGCCTGGTCCATTATAAAAACAGATATAAATCTGTGAAAATCAGGGTGTACAGACATGGCGATCTGGGGGATCCGTCTGTACGATTTATGAATTTGATGAGCTTCTTGGGATGATGTTGCTGTAATGGGGACTGCATCTCTGCCTGCCTTGTACCCACCATTCCTGACAAGGGATAAGCATATTCCTTCCAAGTACAATGGTGGGTCATTAGAACTCAGCAACCGCATCATGTTGGGACAGTGAGGGCATGTCTACACTTACGAGAAGATCGATGTTCCAGAGATCACTCTTCTAGCATTCGATTTAGCAGGTCTAGTGTAGACCCCCTACATCAAGCGCTGAAGGCAGCCCTGCCAGCACCCGATCCTCCTCCTCCTGAGAGGAGTACGGGAAGCCAACAGGAGTGTGTGCTCCTGTCGACCTCCTGCTCTGTGGACGCAGCCACTGCTTGGCTCAAAGTAAGCTGACTCCAGCTACGCATTTTGCATAGCTGGAGTGGCATACCCTAAGCTAATCTGCCTGGTCTAGTGTAGACCAGGCCTGGTGAGCTGGAGCCTTGGAGAAGTTACTTCCTCCTGCTTGTCTGTCGGGAGCAGAGAGAGGAGGGTGGCAAGTTCCCAAGAAGAGCCGAGGAGATTTGTTAACATTAAGTTTTTCTATTTGTTCCAAAACCTCTTCTAATGACACTTCAATCCGGGACAGTTCCTCAGATTCATCACCAACAAAGGACGGTGCAGATTCGGGAATCTCCCCAACGTCCTCAGCCGTGAAGACTGAAGCAAAGAAATCATTTAGTTTCTCCGCAATGGCTTTATCGACCTTGATTGCTCCTTTTATAGCTCAATCATCTAGGGGACCCACAGATTTTTTAGCAGGCTTCCTGCTTCTAATGTACTTAAAAAACATTTTGTTATTTCTTTTTGAGTTTTTGGCTAGCTGTTCCTCAAAATCATTTTTTGCTTTTCTTATTACATTTTTACACTTGATTTGACAGTGTTTATGTTCCTTTCTATTTATCTCACTAGGATTGGACTTCCAATTCTTAAAAGATACCTTTTTGTCCCTCACTGCTTCTTTTACATGGTGGTTAAGCCACGGTGACACTGTTTTAGGTCTCTTGCTATGTTTTTTAATTTGGGGGTATACATTTAAGTTGGGCTTCTATTATGGTGTCCTTAAAAAGTTTCCATGCAGCTTTCAGGGATTTGGCTCTAGTCACTGTGCCTTTTAATTTCTGTTTAACTAACCTCCTCATTTTTGTGTAATTCCCCTTTTTAAAATTAAATGCCAGGACTGCTGGACTGCTGAGGTGTTCTTCCCACCACAGGAATGCTTATTTCCTGGATTCAGTTTAGATGCAGCTAGAATCACTGAACAAGAGGCCTAGATTTCAGTGCCCTTTGATCTCTACCTCATACCTCACCCTGACTGTAGTTTGCAGAATTCAACCTGAGAGACGACCCCTTCACACTACTTTGGCTCCATTTCGCTCTTTGCAGCCAAACACTTTGAGAAACACATTAACTGGCCACTGCACCAGTAAATAAACAAACCGAGGTGGCCAGTTATGTGTTTCTCAAAGTGGTTTCGCAGAGCACTTTCAGAAACACTAATTTATAGAGCATTAAATTGTCAAAAATTAATGGTTAAAGCTCCAGAGTTGCTCATAAATGGAAGCCAAATTTGAAGAGATATGACGCCAATCTTACTTACACCAGTGTATAAATTAGATTAAATACAACTGATTTCAGCAGAGCTCCACCTGTGTAAATCAATGTAACAGATCAGAATTTGGCTAAGAGATAACATACTCTACTACTGTATTTATTGGCAACCTTTGGGGACAATTTCTGCCCTGGGTTAGCTATGACCAATTTGAAGTCTGTTGGATTTGCACATCAGTCTGAGGAGTTTCTGATCCTAGCTTTTGGTTTTCATGTTTCCAAAGAGGGGAAAAAAAATCTCTCTAAGATTTTTCTACCTTTATATTGTGATTGGAGAACGCAGCTTAGTTCAGGACATGAAAACAAATTAACACTGAGGAAAAATGTCTGGTCAGTGATAGATTTGTAACTGAAAATCATTCTGTTATTTGTAAGTTTTGCTTGAGTCTCTTTGTTTACTGTATTGAAATTCAATGATGAATGTCAACAAAAATATTCATTTATTTTGTCAAATTTCCAAGTGAATGTTGCTTTCTGTACTTCTCAATCTCTTGTCTCAAAGCATATTGTATAA